ACTCTACCCATTTCTCTTTAATTTCACTATAGATGTACCAATGGACTTAACCCTAACTGACTTCAGACACACAGCAATTGATTTGTTTATTATTATTATTATTATTGTTCCTTTGGGTTCCTAGTGGAACCTAGGGCTTCAACTGCACGTCTCCAATTGCTTCTGTCTTCTGCTCTACTTTTCACCTGCATCCCTGTGAGTCCATACTGCTTCAACTCCTCTTCACACGATCTCCTCCATGTCACCCTTGCACTGACGTCCCACTCGCCGCTTCCCTTTCGGGTCCCACTCGAGCAATGGCCTGACGCGCGATGTCACCCACCCAGTGGCCTTCTCAGCGAGTGTCCAATCCATATCCACTTTCTCCTGCATATTTGTTGGGCGATTGGTTCTTGTTATGTTTCTTCCCATAATTTCTTGTTGGTAATTATTTCCGGCGGCCATTTGATCTTCAGTATAGAGCCAGCGAAGACAGTTGTTGATAAAGGTCTGCAACAGGCTGTTGGAAATATCCTTTGTGACCCGCCAAGTTTCTGATCCGTATAGAAGAACTGACTGACTTGACGTTTGTATTGAAAATCCGAATCATTTTGTTGTTGATGTTGAGTGACGAAGATTTCCAGATTAGTTTCAGGTTGATGAATGTGTTTCTTGCCTTCCCGATTGTCGATTTGACATCCTCGTCTGTTCCTCCTGCAGTTGAGATAATGCTCCTTAGATAAGTGAATGAAGTAACTTCTTTCAAATCCCTCCAGTTGATGGTGATTGGCGCTGGATGTTGCTGTTGTTGTTGTTGGTTGGTTATTTTCATAACCTCCGTCAATTGATATGTCACCAGGGCATTATCTCATTGACTTAGAACATGCAGATGATATAATCCTTCTAAGTGAAGAAGCTGACAAAATCCAGCAGTCTTCTGAACACCTTGAGGAGTAGCAGTCTTCGAATGTTTGGCATACGATTTGCTCCCGTCAAATGTAAGATGATCAGGCAACATGACTAGGACTAAATTGACTCCTAGCTTGAAGATAAGGAGTGAAGTGGTACAGCGTGTTGACCACTCACTTGACTTATTTGGGGAGTAGCATCCACCACCTCCCACAGACCTACAGATCTTCATTAACAGTTGTCTTCGCTCAATACCACTCAAGATCAGATGGCCAGCCAGAAAAGATCAGCAACAGAGATCTCTGGCAATGAGCGAACCAACCAGGAACCGATTGTGAAACAAACAGGCAGGAAGAAATGGAGATGGATTGGCCATACTCTGAGGAAACCATCAAGTGATATCACTAGACAGGCCATTACTCGAGTGGAACCCGAAAGGGAAGCGGCGAGTTGATCGTCATTTCAAGTGTGACGTGGAGGAGGTCATGTAAAGAGGAGATGAAAGCGTGTGGACAGACTTGGAGCCAGGTGAAAACTCTAGCAGAGAACCGAACGCAATGGAGACGCGCGGCTGAAGGCCTATGTTCCTCTAGGAATTAAAGAAAACAATAATATTAATAATAATCCACCACCTCCAATGGGTTGATCACTGACAAAATCTCATCACGCATACAGAAGGTTCGTTCAGCGTATTCCAATTTACGCCGTCTCTGGCTTAGAAGACGTGATATCAGGCTTTATGTTGACCAAAAGACGTGTGTATTGCTCAGTAGTTCGCTCTGTCCTGCTTTAATGACTGTGAGTTAGAAATGGCCATTGTAAGTGGAAGATATGAAAAGGTTATCTGACTGTCTCTGATCATAGGTACCAGCGTTCTATCTCGCATCTGAAGTGGTATAATAGGGTGAGCGATATTGAGGTTAGGCGTCCAGTGCTAGGTAAAAAGGGGAAATCAATCGACGAGGCTGTGAAGTTACATCGACTGAGATGGTTAGGACATGTCATCCATCGCCTTTCTCGACAATGGGCAGTGTTAGCCGACATAAGTTCGATCACGTTGGAAAAGATTTAGCTAGTGGTGGTGGTGATGGTTAAACCAAAACATGGCGTCATTAGTCAATGAAATCCCCAACAGTTAGTTCAAGTCTGGCAACCACGTAGGAAGGTGTAGACTATCAGGCTGATTGGGGACATCGGGTTGGTAAGAACCAATGAAAACTGGAGACAATTGGTGTTGTGGCTCAAAATCCTCGTTCTCAATGTTTGGCGTGGATGCATTCACTCTTTATGATTTGTCAGTCGTATCCAATGAACCTCTATTATTATTATTATTATTATTATTATTATTTCCTTTAGTTCCTAGAGGAACAAAGGGCTTCAGCTTCTCTTCCATATTACTATTCCTTTTCCCTCACTCACTCACACTTCTGTTTATTATCTCTGTCGCTCTTTTGAACCTCTCTTTACTCTCTTCTCTTGCTTTGTATGTTACAAGGGAGAGTCGCAACTGGAATTGTTGCACCTCTCTGAAAAGCTCTACGCTGAAACAATTAAGTCAGTCGTGGTTGCCGCGTTTGTGTCCAACTTCATTTCCTTATTCCCTATTCACTCCTACACTATTTTTGTAAAGTATAAAAGCGGTGACATCATAACACACATATGATCCGAAGAAACAGATTGTAATATACTGAAAAGTTCAGAGAAGAAACCCTACCAACTAACTTGCAGTTAGTTAGTACATATTGATCACCTAAGAAGACTATTGTTTGAGGCTTGGTACTCAAACTATGTATCCTCAGTTATCATTGTGATATATATATAATCTTTAGAACGACTCCGCCTTTACATACACCTGAGTTGTAATCGCTTGTAGATCAATATATTGACGATATTCATTCAATACCTTCGAATGAAGATTTCTTAAAGCCATAATCAAGATGATATTCGAACCACAGTTGGTAAATCATCGTCCGTACAAGCGTAAAGAAGACTAGGAACTGACTCGATAATGATGATGATTTTTCCTTCACGTTCCCAGTGGAACATAGGGCCTCAATCTAGTGGCTTGAAGTTTCTGTAGCAGTGTTTAATTTTACAGGATGGGGCTGCTAGCTTGGCTGGCTGACTAGATTCAACATAGAACTCGGCACCGAAGTGCAGCAGTTCCAGTTGCCACGTTCCAAAGAGCACACAAAGGTAGACAAGAAAATCAGTGAAGAGAATCAATAGAGTTTTGACAAGTATAAGAGTGAAACAGAATGAGTAATGGTGGTAGAAAGGAATATGAAAGATTACAGAGACTGAATACATCTGCGTAAGCCATTGACAACGATATTGAGCCATGTCACCTATTGTCTCCAGCCGTTGATTGATTCTTAGAGTCCCGAGGGCGGGCCTCAACCGGGAAGTCTGCATCTCCCTATCTGACTCAGTTTAACTGTCAAGGATTTCATGGATTGATGAGGCCATGTTTTTGTTTGGCCACCACTTACTCTTTTCCAACCTGCACCTATATCAGCTAGTAATGGCCGTCGGGAGGGGGAGGCGATGGTTAGGCATGCGCAGCACGTGACCTAGCCATCTCAATCTATGCAACTTTATAGCCTCTTCGATTGATTTTCCCTCCTTACCTAACATTCTACGCCTAACGTCAACATTACTTACCATATTATACCACCTAAGGTGAGAAAGAGATCGTAGACATCTATGATCAAAAACAGTCAACCTTTTCATGTCTTCAACTCGTATTGGCCATGTTTCAGAGCCATAGAGGACGGAGCGAACTGCTGAGCAGTACACATCTCCCTTGCTTGATAGCCGGATGTCACGCCTACGCCAGAGATGGTGTAATTTAGTTAGCTAGATGGTGTAAGTTGCTAGTCTGATACCCAGCCTTTCCTCTTTACCAGCATTATTTCTGGCCTAGCGAGGTAAAGGGTGCGTCGCGCGGGGATCGAACTCCGAACCATGTGCATGGTCGGCGAGCGTCCTAACCGGTGCACTAACTCAATTAGTTGAAAAATGAATTGACGCTCACCTCTCTCTACCTGATTTAACGATATATACACACATATATGAGTAATGCTCAACAATAAACAGAAAAGCAACACCTTATATCAATAATTATAATAGTTACTTGTAATAATCATATGTTGACAGTATATAAAAAAATTTGATCTTTCCGTACAAAAACGAGAAAACAAAATTACACTATAAATTTAACAAAGTTTAACACACAGAAAATGGAGAGGCTGACTGAAACAACACTGACAGACAAGAGTTTCATATATGCAAAAACGGAGTATTACACCAAAAAAAAAACAGGATCAATTAGGAAGGCATAAGTGATTCAGTGTTATTGTAGCCCAAAAGGCGCATTTTGTTGACTGCATAAACATATCTTAAACTAACTACTCGTGGTTGCGTAACACAACACAACACTCGAACAGAATAAAGACGAAATAATACACGAAATAATAGTTCTATGATGAAGAGATAGACGAGGAGAGAAAAGGTGAATTAAGCAGCAAAAGCACTACAGTTGTTGTTGTTGTAAGCAGTATTCATCAGCAGAAACCAAACAACCTCTCAATCAAAACCACCCACACACTACTGAATAGTTGAATTATAACAGAGAGGATTTTGTGATTGGTCAGTCGGACAAGCCAATCAGGAACAAGGACAACAAAGTTAAACGAAAGATTTGATTGGTTTAAATCTGATTACGATTGTACATTATAGAAGTATATTTATTTATACGTATATATGCGGAGGAGTAGTAGTGTAGCGTTTTTCGTTGTTCAATTGTCAATGTTGCTCAAAATAAATAGTACACATCAGCAAGGAATGAATGCGGCAAGGTGTGGTGTGCATGGATAATTGGATTGTTTTTTTAAGGTACAAAATGTACAACAACAAAACAAAAAAAACACAGAGAGGGGAAATCAAAAAAATAATAATAATAGCCTACACATATAGAATATAACAATTATAATATGGAGGTCTTACATTGGCTTATTAAAACAAAAACGCAGCGTATATCTTTGTGATATAACAACGGAAAAAAAGCTGTACGTGTATATGTGTAAATATATATATATAACAAATGATGTACACACATATATATATATAAGGGTTTATGTATATAAATATATAATATAAGCGGATGCTGAAAAATATTGATTAGCGTAGGGAATTTTGGTTTAAAAGCATTATTATGGTGAATTATAATATTGGGGGTAACCACAAAAACTTGTCAATACTTATAATGATAGTAATAACAATACTATTACAACACTTTTTTAAGAGTGCTATTCAATTTAAACAGCAGTTTGATTCTCTCGAATAGTACTTGTTGTACGCAAGAGTAGATCAGAACTGTCACTAGTTGTTGTTGCGGTGGTAAGTATACCACCCATTGTAGATAATTCTGGAGAAATTTCTTTAACAATAGAAGAACCATTATTCAACATGGGTGTAGGATGATGAGTAGCAGTCATAGTATTATTAATAGATGAGGATGATTTAGGAATTGTAGAACGAATACCAGAATATTGACCAAGAAAAGATGCTTCTTCATTGAAATTATCTAAAAGAAACACAAACAGAAATAGAGAGTGAATGAGTGAGTGAAACATGAAAGATGAAAGCAGAGATCATGGTGTTGTGTTGCATGAACAACTAGGCGCGCTCACACACACTCGCACACACGCAAAGCCAAAACGATAGATAATATTATCAACAATAATGACACGTAGTGTTGTTGAACACAATTCAGTGGAAATCAGTTAGAAACAAACGAACAAACAAAAACAAAAGAAAGAAGCCTTTTTAATTTTGATCACTGTTCATTATTGTACTGAACAAAAAATGTGAGTAACTCTAGGCACTATGGCGACCACAAAACGAAACTACCTGATAAACGGACATAACGACTTTGGTCAGCAAATCATCAGATGAGTCCACCGTAAATACGCGTAATTTAAAACACTCTTTTACAGATTACTTAACTCAATTTAGACTTTCCTGTTGATTGACTGGACCAAAGCGCTCGGTCTCTGCTGACCACATGTCAGCTCCTTGTGTGGATGCTTCGATAATGTCCGAGAGTCTAAGCTGAAGTAATTTGGCGGACAGTGACTAACAGTGGATGGAATCCAGGATGCGCATTTCGTCCTATTTGCAACTTGTCAGCTGGATGTACATACCTACATTCACCAGTCAGTGAGTGATGGTGTCCCCCCTCCACTGAGGCTCGAATCCAATACCCGTCCTTTCACCAAATGCCAAAGCGTTAGCCACTATACCATTCAGACCACAAGAGCTGATTCGGTCCAATCAATCAGTTTACGCGAAAATCCAAATTAAATTAAGCAATAACTGATACAAGTTGCACAAGAGGCAGGGTGGCTCTCATGGGCCAAGTGGTTCAGTGGATAACGCTTTGGAGCTTGATGAGACGATGGGTACTAGGTTCGAGCATCAGTGCAGGGAGCACTCCTATAACTCACTGAGGAATGCAAGTACATCTGGACGACAAGTCCCAAGCAGGACGAAATGCGCATCCTGGGGGATTCTATCATCCACCTAATTACTCTTTTGTAAAAATCAAAGTTAGCGTTAAAGAAAATAGTTATATGCACTAATTTCTTTGTATGCGTCCCAAGAAAACCTCCTAGTTCTCTATTGGGGTCTTAAATGATAGTTGTCCAACCACCTATGTTTCTGTACATAATAAACTCATTCAGATAACTCCATGAATCTTACAAAAAAAGAAGATAGGTGCAACACCTCTGTAAAGACATTACTCCTCATCCTCCTCTACATCTACTACAAACTGCCTCTATAAAAGCGCCTATTATCACCCCCCCCCCCTCAACAATACTCAAGTACAACACTACATCTACCTTTGCAACGTGTAATTCAGTTACTGCCTCCTCTATATATTTTCTCCGATTTTAGTTATGAGCTCTTCTGATTGGCTGATCAAAGTCATTACACACATTCGTTTATCAGGGGGGTAGTTTCATTTTGGGTCACCATACAGTTTAGAGTTACCAAAAAAAGGAAAAATAAAATCAACTCAGGCGCCAGAAGCAAAACACAGGCAGATTATGTTAGATATTATTATTATTTTTATAAATACACAGACATTTAGAAGAAAAAATAGGCGGAGATTCAACACGCAAAGAATATTGTTTTTGCGACAACAACTTTCTCATCTGGATGTGTGTTACCTTTTTTTCCTAAATAATATTGAGTAAATTAAATTCCAAATTGACACAGTCCGAGGAGGTGACTATTTTCACCATAGTGGTTTCCTTTGGTAAGCGAAACCATTCAAAGAACCACAATATGTGGGATCTGGTTGTGACACTGTCAGAAAAGGGTAATCAAGAAATCAAGCATAATTGCACAACTGTATATATTACTTATTGATCGATTGATCGAGTTGAGTAGCCATATATCGAACTATGACGAACCATATACTGAACTAAAGTTGGGTTCTCTGAACTGGTTGAGCTTTCGTCACGCAGGTTTTGTTTCATACTAAAACCTCAACCAGAGATGTTGTCTAGAAGGATGATGAAAACTTCGCGCTGAATTCAACCAGCTAGCTCAGAGAACCCAACTGAACTACGAATCTTCTCGCTTATTTCAAAATTTTACGAACATGATCTTCACATCGGACAAGTTGAGGTCATCAATGATGTACATGGTCGGTTCTACTACTCAGCTAGCTCAGAGAGGCGAATTACTTCAAACCATCCACCACCCAACCCCCTCACTGCCCAAAGTTTGGATAACTTCTTTGGGGATCTTGTAATACCGTTCAGTCAAGTTCACAGGTTTTGCAAATTAATTCGCAACCACCACGATCTGACTAGTAAGCACTACTGGTTTGTTAATGTGAGTGGTACTCAACTACTCACCTCAATCTATCAGTAGTATATAGAGTTGTGGAATTACGCTGTCCGGTGTTAAGGTCACCTCAATCTGACTACCAAGCATTACTAATATTCATCTCAATCAATAATATTGATCGGTCAATGTGCTCATATTATGAGTTCCATACACCTTTGAAATATATAAACGCAATTTAGTGTTTTGATTCACCGATGTGATAGCATCACTGGACTGCTGAGCAGTCCGCTCCGTCCTCCTTTATGCTTGTGATACCTGGCCATTAAGAGTGGAAGACATGAAAAGCTGGCTAGCCGTCTTTGATCATAGGTGTCTGCGTTCTATCTCCCGTGTGAAGTGGTATAATAAGGTGAACAATATTGAGGTTAGGCGTCGAGTTCTAGGTAAGGAGGGGAAATCAATCGACATGCCTGTGAAGCTACATCGACTGAGATGGTTAGGACATGTGTTACGCATGCCTAGTCATCCATCGCCTTTCTTGACAATGGGCAATGTTAGCTGACAGAAGATGGATCAGGCTGGAAAAGAGCTAGCGGTAGTCAAACGAAAACATGGCACCAGTCAATGCAATCTACAACAGTTAGTTTAAGCCACGTAGGAAGGTGTAGACTTCCTGACTGGTTGGGGTCCTAGGGACAGTAAAAACCAATGGTTGGAAACAATTGGTGATACGGCTCAAAATCGTTCTCAATGGCTAACGCAGATGCATCCACTCCTTGTGACTTATGATTTCCAATGAAACTGTTTTATTCTTCGTTATTACTATTCCTTTGTCTCACACCTCTGTTTACTGTCTCTAATATGCATTTATTTTTACTTTCTTCTCTTGCTTTGTGTGCTACATGGAGTGTGGCGACTCGAACTGCCGCACATCGGTGCAAACTTCTATGCCGAATACAGACAGACAGACAGAGACATCACTGGAATAATAATACAAAGCTGAAACAATTCAGCAGAATTTCAATGTCTCTTTAAAATCCCTCCACAATAAACTATTGAATTTGACCATCTCGATGTGTGTACCAATAAGTTTGAGTGCTCTTGTGGAACCCAGTTACATTAGGCGTAACACAGTTAGGCAAGTTCATCATTAGATTTCTGAAAATCAACCTAAGTGGTTAATCAAGAGACAAAAAAGGTGTATTCGTAGCTGATTTTTGGAAATCTTCTTCTGCACTCCGCAGCATAGATAACAAAATTCGGATTTTCAACATCAATCGGTGAATTCAATCGGTCAGTTCTCCTTTTTTATTATATGGGTCAGAAACTTAACTTGCACTGTGTTCGTGTCACGAACATCATTACCAACTAACTGGCTATTGAAGACGTTTATCAACAGCTGCTAGAAAGAATTAGTAATCAGAAACTCTTGGATTGGACACACGCCACTGAGGACGCCATCGGATGACATACCTCAAGTGAAACCCGAATAGGAATAGACACGGGGTTCAAGGGTGACACATGGAGAAAATCAGACACTTTGGGCAATAATAATAATAACTTAAAGAGACATATGAGGAAGTTATCGAAAAATAACATATTTATTCCTCAGTATTCTTTTTTTGTATTGGCTCACTCTCACACAGCAAAAGTGGATTAGGACAGGACAAGTACAGCAACAAATTTTTTTATGAAACAAAAGAAACAACGTTTGGTTAATGTAACATAGTAGCAAAGTAGCCAAGTGGTTTAAAACATTCATTATTATTATTATTATTATTATTATTATTAATAGCAGTAGGAAGAGTAATAACGAGCATAAGTTACTACCGATAGGCATTTGAGTCAATACACGATGATGACCAAGTACTGATGAGGAGAAAAGGAAGAGAGAGAGAGAGAATATGATGATAATTAAAATAAATGCATCGCGTGAAGTTTAGAAAAACACAAAATATAGTACTACAAGGATGTTTGGTTCACATCACAAAACACAGATGTGGTGGTCCACACAGTTCAAATGACTCGTTCCAGGTATGATCCCCAACTGACACATTAATCATTTAGAGAACCGTTTAAAAAAGGGAGGACTGGACAGTTGTTTCGTCCCAGCGGAGAAGTGACTCTTCAGCAACAGGAACACATGACTCCCACCTCCCCCACACACACATCAGGAATCGAATCCCTAGAACCCTCAGGGTCACGAGATTAGTCCGTTGGCCGTTGACAGCCACTGAGTTGTAAGAGAAAATTGAGTAACTCGACAATTCTAAGTTCTCCCGACCCACGAGATATTAAAATCGGCGAGTATTTTTCCTCACACCACACCTGATTTAAGTGAGGGGGTGGGCGGGTGACGACTCCTCATTAGAATTTCAGAATATTCATCCTACTATCCCATCCACTACCAATCAGTCAGCCAGAAATCGATATTTAGATATTTTTGTTTGGTTTTCTAGGGATAGTGAGTGATGAATAGATTTCGTTCATAATTAGGAAAAAAAACTAAAATCATTACCGACCATTATGGAAACGTGTATGGGATCAAGTTCACGTTCTTCCCTTTATTATTTTCCCAACGCAAATGCGAAAAAGAAAAGCAGACAGAGACTCCTGAAGAACTTAAATCCAGGAGACTTAAATGCTGTCTCTAGTCACAAACTATCCGACATGCTTACACAACTTAACGTGTAAGAGTTACTCATAAAAGCTTGGCATTATTATGTGACACCA